GGTACTTTCCTTAGCTTGTATTGTAACCTTCTTAGCCTTCAAATTCGATTTCAAAACATGATTTGTGACCACATTCATGAGTTTACGGCCATGGAGCATTCATGGGCCGTAAACTCACAATAAGTGGGTTTTTGAGCCCTAAAACCCCTCCTAAGCACTATTGGACTTTAGATATGGCTTAATGGCTTAATGGAATGGACATATAACATTTAAAACATGGATTTTGAGGCATTTAAAGGAGTATACGGCCAAGGCTCATTCTTGGGCCGTAAACTCATATATATGTGGTTTCCATGCCCTTAAACCCCTCCAAATCACTTATATAGCTTAGATATGAATTATAGAACATTGGTTTTAGCATTTGGACACTTTAAACATCATTTTTGGGGGACAAACAAGAGTTTACGGCCAAGGCATGTGCTTGGGCCGTAAACTCCTCTAAAAGGGGGATTAAGTGCCTTTAAACATGTCCAAATGCCCTGAAACTCAACCAATGACCTTGTGGTAAATCCTAGAATCATCTAAAAATGGTTTGGAGGCCTTAAACACATCAAACACACTACATATTGGAGTTTACGGCCTAAGCACATAGCCTTTGGCCGTAAACTCATAAACACATGTCAAAATGTCCTTAAACCACCCCTAAAGCCTTGGATTGAATTTTAGAAGTCCTTACAAACAAGTTTTTGGCATTAAAACACAAGGATTTACTCTCTATGAGAGTTTACGGCCATGAGAGGGGTCTCATTGGCCGTAAACTCCAAAAACCCCTTCAAAATTACAAACAAATGCATATAAGGTTTTGGGACAATTTTAGCAATCACATGTGATTAGTTTGGAATCCAAAAACACAACTTTTAATGGATTTATAGGAGTTTACGGCCATGAGACCATGCTAGGCCGTAAACTCCCTAAAATGTATCATTTTGGTGTTTTAAACTTATTCCAAACCCTTAAACCAACTCTAGAAATTGTCCCATAAGTGTTTGAAGTCCAAATTGCACCATAAACCACCCATCATGAGTTTACGGCCGTAAACTCATGGGGAATGGGTGTCTTGGCCGTAAACACCATTTAGAAGTGTACTCTTGAGGAGTAAACTCATTTCCTAAGTCCCTCGCATCATTACATGTCCTTAAACGCCACCCGGGTCCCTCCAAACACTTGTATCGGAGTATTTTCGCGACTTGAAGCAATTGTCCCTATCCAACAATCAATCTAAGTCCTAATTAGATACAAATGTGTATCTTTACATCATAATTAGGAACCTCGTGTTTTTACAAGCCCCGGATCAACTCTTAGCATCCAAACCGTCACATATCTCGTCCGGTGAGTTCATACCCTTACGCCCTTTTCACTGTTTTCAATGTTTTCAGGGGGGAATACAAGCAAACTATAACTGTTTTCAAATCATAACATTGATATGTTTCAAACATTATCTGACAAACTTATAAACTCTTTTACTCCTTATGTATTATATTGAGCATAAGGAATGATTTATCAATTACAACTAAATGTATTTTAGTTAAGGAAATAAACCAACTAATCAAATTATTATGGGAATAATTTGGGGGTCTTTACTGTTCTTTCTATCATGTACTGATATCTATATAAAGTTATTAGATAAACAATGTCTAATTCAGTTTATCTCCGTATCCTTTGAATGTATTGTCAGATAATTTCTTTGTATGTATCTATATTCACTGTACTATGTTTCATAATCTTCTGTATGTCGATATCGTATGGAAACCCTGTGAATAGTTTAGTACTAGTTTGTGAGATAGTCACTACCCTTTATGGATGATCAGTAAATCCTCCCTGGAAGTGTAACCAGAGTCTCCTGGAGGGAGAGCGCGGAATTTGTGAATAGATCTATTCGGGACTAACAATCCCACACCTTAACTGCTAGCTACAGTTAGGCGGGCACGCCTGGGGTGACAAATTTCTGGATATCGTTTCGACGTCTGACAAACGTCAAGGAGGTCTCGTTGTCGTATTAGCATGGTTACCCGACTCACAACATATATTAATATTAGTTTATTCACAGTTTGGGTTTTGTAACTATATGTTCGGGATAGTGATCCCATGGTTTTGTATCTATATCTTATACGGGATAGTGATCCCATGGTTTTGTTTCTATATCTCTTTCGGGATAGTGATCCCATGGTATTATCAAACTATTTTATATCTAGTCTGGGATAGTGATCCCATGGTTTTATACATATAATCTGTGCGGGAGGCTTTTCCCCATGGTCTTAACTATATCTATTACGGGATAGTAATCCCATGAATTCAATCTATATTAAGTACGGGATGATAATCCCATGGTCTAAATCTATATCTTGTTCGGGATAGTGATCCCATGGCTTACAATCTATATTTCCATATATATCAAATTATCTCGTGTCTAGTTCGGGATGGTAGTCCCATGATCTTAAATATGTACTTTCATATGTGTTAAACTATCTTATATCTTTTACGGGATAGTGATCCCAAGATTTTCAACATATAGTTTTGTGTATTAAACTATACTTTGTGATATACAACTGATCTTACAATTAGGAAAATATGGGATTTTCCTGGGGTAAAACACAACACGTAATCGAATTGGTAACAAATGATAACTAAACTAACTTCACATAAGAAAATATGGGATTTTCTTGGATAACAAACCTTTTCGGAAACTAAAGGAAACCGATACATTTTCCTAAAACAAAACCGCTTATGAACTCACCAGCTTTATGCTGATTTTCAAACCGCTTGTATTCTCGGGTCCAGGTTAGACAGGTACCCGGTGATCTCTTTTGATGAAGACGGAGTACGTGGAAGACTCACCTCAACTTTTGTTAATATGATGCATATGTATATTTTGTATAACTTTACTTTTGAAACAAATGTGAACTTTCATATATGTATTGTAATGGTTGTTTACTGTGATTACTATGTACATTGGATTTGATACTCAACGTGGTAGTCCACCCCGGAAATGTTTCCGCCTTTGATTTTCGGGGTGTGACACTTTCTTTTCTTGGCTTTCCAAATTTTGGGTGTTACACAAGAATTGTGGTTTTACGGTTTCTCACGACAAGTTTCTCAAAATAAACTGATTCCAAACAAATCAAATTCACGTTTCGAGGTGAGTGATTACGACCCTTTTTTTAATATTTCTTATTATTTCTGTGCGCGGGGGGGGGGGGGGGGGGGGGGGGGGGGATACATGTGCCTATATTCTTTGTTTATACAAACAACAAATTATCGTTTGATGCGAAAATACAACAAGTCTAGTTTATAAAAATGTTATTTGACATTGTAACATATTGTTACAAATAAAGTAGTATAAACTTTTCATATACATATTATAGTTATTTTATCGTGAAATAACTAGTACACACAACAAATATTACATGATACAAAATATATATGATTTTATATGACATTATATGTCGTAAAAAGTATGTAATAAAACTTTGTAGTATTTCAAGGATTCAAGCTATTACTATGCATGTACATTTATATGTTTAAATACATAAAGTTTATACTTGTACATATGTTCATTACTTTGGAACGTACATGTTTATAAAAACAAGTACATTACACTTTTACATACATACCAAGCATACTCGGCTTTATATATAAACTTTATACAATAAAATTAATTATGCCTAGTGACTTATCCATAATTAAGTTAGGGATGACAGCTATTCACATACTTTATTTAAGGGCTTTTAAGTGAGACTACATTCATTAGCTAAATCTAAACACTTAGCATACTCATACTATTATAACCATTAATCTTCGGAGCGAGATACATAGATCTATACGGGGTTGACATCCCCACATGCGGTTGTTAGCTACAACCTCGACCGATCAATCGAAGCGGGAGATAAGTGTCTACTATTTTACTACAACGTCCAATTAAGCGTTATAGGGGGTATATTCAGTCATATAGCTCGGTTATAAGACTCACTATAAACATTAACTATAATCTTTCTCTACAAACCATGAGCTTGGTTTCTTTCAAAACTATTTTAAGTATGGATTTACTTATACAAAGATACATTGTGGTTTTCAAAGACTCTTTAAAAACATAGTTTTAAGTATGGATTTACTTATACAAATATATATTTTGTCTTTCAAATACTCTTTACAAACACAGTTTTAAGTATTGTTATGCCTACAAAGAAAATACTTTTTAGACATTTAAAAGTATTATTGTTGTTAGCTGAAAACCTTAACTCTCACCAACCTTGTGTTGATCCTCAAAACTACATATATTTTAAGGAAATAACTAAACAAACATACAAAACGAAATGGATTACAAGCGACCTAATTTACTAGTTGTATTATATTCCAATTTATTAAGAAAATTCATGTACTGCTATTACGTGTGATCCATGAACTAAGTCGGACAGCTTGACATATTGTATTATATATGACATGTTTTATGACCAAATGAAAAATGTGTTTACTACAATTTTTTTTTTTTTTTGTAAAATATACAATATGTGCCAATAAACATTAAATGATCACAATGTATATATGTTATATAATTAAAATATAGTAACACTAATATGCACATGTGTATAAAGTTTTATTTGCATATTGAATTCTTTTCTAAAAATCTTACACAAATACCCATCTTGGTTAAACCATTTCAGTATAATTCCCAAACTTTAATTCCAATTAAACCATATCAGTACCTCGCTTGATTTATTTTAACCAAAACAGTCCTATCTTTGTTAGTTAAATTACCAAACAGCCCCCAAATAGTTTAAATTCGTTACAAAACGGTCCCAAAAGTATTTCAAAGTTCAAGAATTGTGATTTTGCAGTTTCTTATGACAACATGAAATCGTGAGATCACATAGTGGACATGTTAGAGTAAAGAGTACTTAATATTAGTATGGTAAAAGTTAAATCATAAGAGAAAGTAGATTGTTTTTTTTTATGTAACTAATGTAAGCCCAAGAAGTAGTGTTGTGAGCCAGCCATTGCCAATAATCTTACTTACATTTCATAAGAGAAAGTAAATGCAACAGGATTCAATATTTAGATAGCAAAATGCTTATATGCTTGGCCATTAAATATAACAATAATCTTACTTACATTTCAAATTCAAACTAAACTATTACAACTACTATTCTTCGTCATCAAAAACAAAAAGAATTGATGTACAAACAAACTAAACAGTATTTTACTCTCTCTAAACAGCTGTGGCTGCTGCTACTATACTTCAACATCACCATCACTGGTAGAAAATAGGAACACAGCAGAACTGAAGCAGAAGCAACGTTTCATCATTAACCCAATGCAACACTATTTAATTAATATTAATATTAATATTAATATTAATACTGCCTCCCTCCTTCATTCCCCTATTCTTGCTTGCATCACATCATCTCGTCTCATCTCATCCCATCTGTGTCTGTCATAAATATAAACATTAAACACAATGTAATATTATCGTGTTACCATACAAATACATCATACATACAATACAAAGTTATCAAGACTAACCACCAAAACTAAAATTGCATTTTTCCATCATCATTCACACACACAAGTGACAAGACCGAGTAAATTGCCCTTCTTACATATCCTTCACTTTCCTATTACTAATAGAAAACTACCTTTGACATAGTATTAACTATTAACTATTAAGCCACATTTTGTACATTCATTACCTTTGCTTGATACCCATGCACATTGGTAGTATTACTGAAAACACAATAAACTAATACTATTTTATTTTCCAAAAACATGCCAGATTGCCTACTATTATTTTATTTTGTATAAATGCCATCATTCAAAATAAAGTGACTTCACCTTTGTACATAAACACACACCAAATTCCGACCAAGTAAACCAACCCCTCTCTTCTTTTTACTAGACACATACACCATCCCATTCTCCCAACAAACAGGCTTGTAATAATTGAAAAAAATTATATTCTTTTCTTTCCTTTTCATACTACAAACAATTCTGTCTAGCACAATCTGGTGGGTGGGTAGACAAAGTCCAACAAGTAGTCATTAAGGTTGGTTTTGGAGCATGGGCTGTTTTTGGTTATGAGGAATTGAGGATGTTAAAAAAATGCTACTTTTGTCCCAAACACTAAATAGAGAAACCCTGTTCTGTTGAAAAGGTTGTAATAATAAGACATAAATAAATAAATACCTTGATTCTGGTTTAATTGAGGATCTTGTAGTTGTAGTTGTAGGAAGGAAGTGGCCTTGTAACAAACGGATGGTTTAAGAGCTGAGCAGCAGTTGGACGATCTCTTGGATTGACATGAAGGCATTGGAATATGAAATCCCTTGCCTCTCCTGTAACACCATCTGGAACCGGTGGAGGCTTACCGCTTCCAATTCTATATAATGCAGCCATCTGTTCATGTTCATCACAACAATATTACCTTCTTTTTTTTTCTTTTTTAAAAATATATTATATCTACACAGTTCAAAGCATTAATTAAGTAAATAACCTTCTTTAAAACAGAACCAATCCAGAAGCTTTCAGTTTCAGATTGTGATACTGACCAATTTCTCCGTTAAATAAAAAATTACAAGTATTGTTCTAAATAAATAAAAGCGTCAGCCAAAATGGAACAAAAGCATAGATACTTTAGACAAGTTGAAAACGAAGTATTTGAGAAAATGTACTAGAATTTCAACAACACGAACATGGTACCGGAACCAATACTACTACTAGGAGGCATAGTGAAGCTAAAACAAGTACTCTAGAATCCATAACAAACTTATAAAATATAATAGCCTAGCAAGTACCAAGTAGTGTAGTTTTATTGTTTTTACTGAGGCTTGGCAAGGGTAAAAGTAACATCGGAATAGGTAGGACTGACTCATGGAAATAAACAACAGACATTATGAAAAAATAATAATTGTTAGAGAAGAAAAAATACATACACATTCCATTGGAGAATATGGAATCTGACGTGTCAACATCTCCAAGACAGTGCAACCAAGGCTCCATATGTCTGCTGCAAGTCCATACCCCTTCTTTTTTTGATTTACAACCTGCAAACAATCCAAATCCATCCTTGCCTTACTAAATCAGAATTTATTATGATCAAAGAATTTTCATTTCATAACCTAGAAAAGAAACTAGTCTTGTTTTGTGTTATACATACAGGAAGGCATCCACATGAAGAAAATTCAAATTCAAGCCATGTGAATGTGAATGTGAATGTGATGATCACATAACCCATAGCCTTAGCAATTGGTTTTGTCTTGAGTTTAAACCCTAAGGCTGCATTTAATTTATTACAGACTGAACAACTTTTCAGGGGTCTTTCTCTTTCAAATAAACCATACACATACCTGCCCCACCTTTTTCATATGCTTATTTATTATCAGTTGGTTGTTTTTGGTGCTTAAACTCTTAGTATGTATATATATATAACAAGTATACTTCAACAGCATAATGTCAAAGATATTGAAATCTGTTGTTTTGGGGCTTAATTTCATACATACTATACTTCAATAAAATAAGTTATTTATTTTAAGTATAAGTATGTCTATTTCTATTGCATGAAAATAATGTTACCATACTGTTGGGGGTTGCATTACAAGTTTTATGGCAAAGATGCATGGAAATAGATTGATTATTCATTCTATTGATATTGATTGGCTTATACTATAATGCACTTTTAAATAAAAGAAGGTTGTGGTTGTCATTTCATTTTTTGCATTTTACCCGAATAATGCTCCATAGATCTATCTGTTCACAAAATAGAGGATCTCATCTAACTAGAATAGCAGAAAACAAACAATACAAAGCTTAAAGCTTTATAATATATCATATATCATCTATCAATTGCAAATTTGCAATAGGCAATAGCATATATGAATATTGGTTGTGGAAAATAAAAGTGAGACAACCTCAGGTGCCATCCAGAATGCAGTTCCCTTGCAAGACTTGACATCATTGAACTTAGTGGCCTGTACAATAAAGGAAAGGTTTAAGAATTACACTACCAATACCAACTAATTAAGAAGATCATAGCAACCCAACCTTAGCCAGCCCAAAATCTGCAAGTTTCACTGACCCATTAGCATCAACCAATATGTTTGCACACTTCACATCCCTGAAAAACAAGCACATAATAAGATGCTACAACTTCAAAAATCCTTTGCCATCTATAAAATTTGTAAATGAAGAGAAACTTCACCCTACCACTGTATATATGATTTAAGGTTTCTTCAGTTGACTTTGTTACCTTGCATGGGATGGGATTCATTTAATTATGTTTTCATAGTCTAGCATTGTATATATATTGCTGTCTTACCTCACAAGAAATGCACACAAGTTTCCTAGATTCGATTACAACGAGAGAGAGAGAGAGAGAGAGAGAGAGAGAGAGAGAGACTTACCTCACAAGAAATGCACACAAGTTTCCTAGATTCGATAATATATATATATATATATATATATATATATATATATATATATATATAGAGAGAGAGAGAGAGAGAGAGAGCCTTTAGACTTTAGTCACATGTTTTTACAGGTAGATGTGGGAAGTTTGGTGGTAACTTCAATTGTTAGCTTAGAGATACAATAATGTGTGTGTGTGTTACACATTACAGAGGAAGGATATGTATCATATGAATGTATGTATGTCTCTATTTGATTGCACAACATTCATAATTTCATATATTGAACAATGATTTTTCTCATAAATAGCAACTACAAATTTTTCATATGATACATATCCTTATTTTTCTTTCCATCATGTACTAATTGAAGTCTCTGGGACAAACACTCGGTTGAGTTAGTTACAAATCATAGGGATAAAAAAAGAAAAATAAAATCTTATCACAACATTGTGGTTTCTTATTACAACATTGTTGTTTGAAAAATGTATAAAATTATAGCAATGAGTAAGCTGCTAGTTTTTAAAGCACATTTGAGAATGATGTAAGAATAGTTGGTGGTTTAATTTGGCAGATAGAGGCAAAAGATAGATTTCTATGGGTAAAAAAATAGCATATGGAAATAAATACCTGTGTAGGACACTGCGATCATGCAGATACTTAAGACCATGTAAGATCTGGCGTGTGTAGGAGGAAACTTGAGAATCCTGAAGATGGTATCTCTGATACAGACTTAAAAGGGAACCTTTTGTTACAAGCTCAAGAAATATATACAGCTTCGCCTCATCCTGCAACCCACCCCAACCCAACCAATGATGGAGATAAATTTATATTCCACAAGTACAAATACAACTACAACTACAAGGAATGCAGTACCTTATCTGTCCCATAGTATCGAACTATGTTCTCATGTTCAAACTGACTTAAAAGAGCAATTTCCTGGAGTGGAAGGAAGTAGTATAGTTCTCAAGCAGCAGATACATATCATAATCATAATAATGGTAATATAGGACAAGACCAACCTGTTCAAGTTGGAGTACACTCTGCCTTCCTTGTTCACCTTGATCAAGCAAAGAGACTTCCTTCACAGCAATAAAACATCCACCGCTGCAACAAACAAACAAGAAATATGCTTTTGTATCAGATCAGATGTATATAAATCAGGTATTGCCACATAGTTAACGTCTGCTGAGACTCTGAACGATTTAAAGAGACAAAATCTGCTTGGCAAGTCCAGTTACTGACTGACTGACTACTATACAAAATTACAAATACGCACTGCTCTCTATTATTTATTTATTAAAAAAAAAAAAAAAAAAAAAAAAAAAAAAGAATCAAACACTTACTCGCAAATGCCTTCATAGACTGATCCGAATGAGCCACGCCCCAGGAGCTCACCCCTCTGCCAGTGAGTAATAGTTATGTGTCTGAATCTTCCATTAGTGGATATATTAGATCCGTATCCATTTGGTGATATACTGGATGTAGGCTCTGTGGTAGTACTTGATGAATCATCCTCATTGGAAGTTGTAAAAGAACACGATGCCGAAAGTCTCATCCTAACATTCTCCACGTCACCTATTTCTTCCTCGGACAGCCTAAACCCTTGTTGTTGATTCACATGATCAGAAGAAGAACCGGCTTCAATGGAAATGGAGGCGAAACTTCTTACGACATCCCACTCGGATCCAGCATCGTGATGATGTATTAAGGATTTCGGAATAGAACAAGACGGGGGAGAAAGAACCGGAGGCCGGACACCTTTAATTCCGTTACCAACTCTAACCCTAATAATATCGGATTTACGTTCCTTTCCAATAATTTCGGCTGGTTGCTCTTCTTCAATCGCAGTCGCACCATGATCAGTATCGAGATTTAAACGAGAGGTGGGAAGAAGATCGGAAGTAGACCGAATCTTTCTAGCTTCCCAGGATGACACGGGAATCCCAAAATCTTCGGGACTTTCAAACCCTAAACTACGACAAATTATTTCAACTTGCCCAGCATCACTTCCATCAATCCGAAAGCTCGTCCTATCAATTAACGAGGGTAGTATGTCAAGTGAGCGAGTACCTCGAACAGCTGATGACCGCACTGAAGCCTCCTCTGTGGATGTCCTGGAGAACTCGTACTCGATGTTCTTCCTTGCATTCATACGCTCGAGCTTTGGCTTCTTTGGCGTCTTCTTCTTTCTCCGTCTATCGCCATTAATAACGAGAAACTGGGGCAAGTGATGCATTGAGAGATAGAAGAGATCTCTTTAACCCATCAAACTTAAAATCGTTCAGCCAATTGAGATATGGTCGGATCAGCTTTTGCTCCGTAGAACCTTGACTTCTTGCTCGGGAAAATGGCGATCTCCAAAAGGGTTGACTGCCCGCGTCCCGGAGGGAAAAAGAAAGAGAGGGGTAAACGCCGTCTAGAGTCAAAGAAAGAGAAGGTCGCGGTGGTTGTTTACTTTTGTGTGGTGGTGGGCTTCAAGATATGAATATCGCCCACGCACACACCACCACTTTTTACAGTGAAGTTTCCGCAAAAGTTCCCCCCTCTTTTCTCGTTAAAAGCTATGTAAGCTTAAAATATGAATGTCGAATGTTTTAAGTTTGGGATTAAATAAATTATATATATATATATATATATATATATATATATATATATATATATATATATGGTTAGGTTCATTTAAGACCACCTATATTTTGTGAGACGATTTTTTTATTTTTTTATTTTTTTTATTTTTTTTAGTTAATTCATGTTCTGAAAATAATATTTAAAAAAAGAATTTTTTTGATTTTTCCATTTATTTTGCATTTTAAAATTATTTTTAGAATATGTACAGTGTAATATTCTATTTAGAATATTTCACGTATTTTTCAAAAAAAATAGAATCTTTTTTTATTTTTTTTAGTTAATTCAAGTTCCGAAAATAATATTTAAAAAAAGAATTTTTAGATTTTTCCATTTATTTTGTATTTTAAAATTATTTTTTAGAATATGTCAGTGTAATATTGTATTTAGAATATTTCACGTATTTTTCAAAAAAAAAAAAACGGAATTTTTTTTTTTTTTATATTTTTTTTAGTTAATTCAAGTTCCGAAAATAATATTTATAAAAAAGAATTTTTAGATTTTTCCATTTATTTTGCATTTTAAAATTATTTTTAGATTTGGTCTCACGGTCTCACAAAATTAGAATGGTCTCAAATGAACCTGAACCTATATATATATATATATATATATATATATATATATATATATATATATATATATATATATATATATATATATATATATATATTCTAGCCGTTTACCCGTGTCAAACGACATGGTGAATAATTTTTTTCAAAAATTATATTTTTAAAGGCGATTTTTTTTACGCAAACAGTTTACTGTAATTTAAATAATTGTCAATAAAAATCATGCTAGCAAATATAAAATTTGAAACAAAGTTAAAAGAAACTTTGTCATATATGTAAGTAGAAAAAGATTTTTGTTTCATTGAACTGTTGAATAACAACAATATGATAGGTGAAGAGTTCTTAAATGAGAAAAATTGAAACCCTAATTCTTTGGATTTTTCTTTGTGATTCCATTTCAACCTCAGAATTTGACTCGTGTATGAGGTGTTTAATCCTCATGTGTCTCACAACTCTTTGTTAATTCACAAAACCTTTAGCTATTGCGAAAAAAATGATAAGGGGAGGTGTTGAATAGTTTCTTTTCGATGATTAGTTTCCGAGTGATGATTAATTTTTTTTGGTAAATTGTTTTCTTTCGGCTATCAAATCAAACCATAAAGTCATTACGTATTAACCAAGTTAAAATATTGATAGTTCTTTTGTTCGGACGAATCTCAAACGTTGATAAATTCGTTTATGTTTTCTTATGACCTACTTTTTTATTTAAAAATATAAATATATTCTTATTTTGAGTTATAATTAATGTACACATTCAATAAAACCACATATAATTTTCCTTTTAGTAAATTTGACATGTAATCATAGTTGATAATTTTTTAAAATAAAATATGTCAATTACGATATTATATGAAAACATGTTATACATTATTTGTCTTTTGTAAAGTTTTATGTATATTTTAAACCTTATCTTTATCTTTATTAGACAATTTGATATTTATCTTTAATATTTAAAACAATTCAATTTTTATTTTTAGAATGTCATCAAAATACACATTACATACATTAGAACATTATTTTTAACAATTGTATATTGCTCATTTTTATTAGGAACTCAAACAATTAATTATATTAACCATAATGCCAAAAGGATTCGAGACAAACATAATTGAATTTTTGGGAGTTGGTTATAGTAAAAAAAAAAGTTGGTTATATCTTATTAAGTTTTCTTACGATACCAAATAATAATATACATTTAGATTAAACCAGTGTGGTATATCTATGACTTGTGATGTCAAATACACATTCAAATTTTCCTTGTGATGTAAATTATAATTGCCTATGGAAACGCAATACCAACAAAATATATCTTATTAAGTTCTTTTATAGTATAAAGACACATGTATATCTAAATCAGTATGTCTACCTTGTGCACCATCAAAACGTATGGTGTATCATCATCATCCTTGAATCCAATCATTTGACAGTTGTTCCCCTAGAAAAACAATATAAAAGGGATTATAAACAATAATAAGGCTAAATTTTATAAAACTTTACATTAGGGAAAGTACATAGGTTTAACTCCCAAAGCCACATACACAAGTGGTGTCAAATGGATGACTAATGTGCTAAACCAACTGAAACCAACAAAATAGAAGTATGTTATTCATAATCGTTTACCAAACCAATATGTTAAATCAAATCCGAAAATCAGAACATAACACATTTATAACATACTTTTTATTTCAAGACTTAAAGTAGAGTTGTAAAATCATCTCCATTGCACCATATCGGCTTAGTACTTAGATCACAAACACAAAATGTACACTTCTAAGCATTTCATCCACATATATTTTGATTTAGAACAGATAATATACACTTCTAAGCACTGAAATATTGATCAATATATTTTGACAAATTTTATACATATATCAATTCAAGGGTTTAAAATCATACCTTTGAGACGTTTATATGTGTATTTTTTTATGTGAACAGTGAGGCAACTAGTAGGCATAAGGTTTCTAGAGGTGGTGGTGATAGCCCGTAGATTTGAAGTTGAAATGAAAACAACCTTAATCCAAATTTTGAATAAACTTAAACCAATTATAAGTTAATTATTCTTGAAGTCAAATAAGAGATGAAAACATGAAAAATAATTTACCAAATAACCACAAAAATTTGTTTGGATGCAAATGGAAGCTCATTCGTACATGACAACCTTGAGATTGTTGGGTTGAGACCTTACAGCAGCAACAACAATAACCTAGAAGGGATCAGCCATTCCATACACACATCATACAAACAACACACATAGCCATGAGATTATTGAACATAGCTTTTTTGTTTTAAAAGAAATATAAACATGAACATCACAAACACAACACATAAATGTGTGTGTGTGTGTGTGTGTATATATATATATATATATATATTAACCAAAAACAGAGGTAAAATGTAACACCCTGATTCTGGTATGTTATTTAATATTATTATTTATTCAAGTTTCAAGAGGGACTTGACGAGTCAGTAGCCCAACTCATCGAGTAGAGACGGGATTTCAAGCACGTTTGAGTTGGCGACTCGGCGAGTCCATCAGTCTGAATGAAACCCTAAATCCCCGGGCTTTGCACCCTATTTAAGCCATGTTTTGAGCCCCAACCTCATCCCCCTTCACCCTCAGAGCATCATTTAGCAAACCCTAACCTTTCCTTGAGCATTTTGAGCATTTATTGTGTGAATCTTGAAGTTTTAGAAGAGAAGAAGTAGCTAGATCCAAGGGAGTAGAAGAAGGTCCAAGATCTTGCATCCATTGCAGAGTTATTGAGGTAAAAACCGGATCCCCTCTGTTGCTATGATTATTTCTCCTTTGTTAAATCATATTTAGACCATTTTATCCATTCCTTAGCTTATTTATGGTAGAGAAATCACATTGGGGTGATTGGACTCCGGGTCTAGCCATGTTTTAGTCCCAAAGTCGTGGATCTAACACCTTTATGGAGCCTTTTTGCTTGAAAGCCATAGATCTATTTCTTCAAGTGTCTTTTTAGCCTTTAAATCCATTTTCATGCATTTGTACATGTAAAGTTGGAAACTTTAATTGGTAGCCGAGCTTTATGAACCCAAATCTATAAGTTGTATGCATTAGATTTGAGCAAAATCATCAGAGTAGTGTTGCATGCAACCGACTCGGCGAGTTGTTCTTCAGACTCGGCGAGTCGGGTCGCGAGTCCCCAAGTTCTTCCCTTTTATGTGTTATGCCGAGTAGAATCAGTGAGTTATGAGAGGACTCAGTGAGTCGGAGATCGGACTCATTCATGTAGGGAGTCGGCGAGTCAATGCCCTGACTTAGCGAGTCCAAGGCAATCTTTATACCTCAAGAACAGACTCGACGAGTTGTTCATACAACTCGGCGAGTCACAGCCCAGAGTGTTCATGTGTTGAAGGAGGACTCGACGAGTTGTTCATACAACTCGGCGAGTCGGATGCAGATTGACTGAGTGTTAGTATCGAAGAGGAACTCGTCGAGTCTATGCCAAACTCAACGAGTTAGGTCAACTGAATGTTGACTTTGACCCACTGTTGGGAATAAAACCCTAATTGACATTTGATGAACAAGATGCGGAAAATAAGAACAAACACAAATATGAAGATTATGTCGAATGATCACTCGATTTACTCAAATATGAGGAATAAATTACACTTAAGAAATAAGAATCTAACTCTACAAGAAACCTCACAACGTGGCGGCTACATTTTGCCTCACTCTCTTAACCCTAATTGTGTGACAACCGTCATTTTCCGGGCAAGTCAAAGTCAACCGAAGTCAACAAGTCAAACCGTTCGACTCATTTTGCACGTGGGTACTATAGTTTATGTTAAGTAAATACTAAATAACTCGCTATTCTAATGAGAGATCATAAATCAAAAAGTGCGAACATCTAGATATCCTTAACCTAAAACTGTGGTACGTGGCGAGCCAAACCGATAAAACAATGTTGCATACTCATCGGCGGTATGTAAGACCCTTAAACAAGGCTTAACAGGGTTTACGAACCTTGCATTGCGAAGTCGGACACTCACAAATGCCACACATGAAACCTCTCTCAATCGTTTTCACTCTATCTCTTCTTATCAAGAATCTCTCCCAAATCTCTCCAAGTATGTGAAACCTCTCTCAAATATCTCTTTGTATGAGAAATCTCTCCAAGTATGTGAAACCTCTCTCAAATATCTCTTTGTATGAGAAATCTCTCCAAGAATGTCAAATCTCTCCCAAATCTCTCCAAGTATGTGAAATCTCTCTCAAATATCTCTCTGTATTAGAAATCTCTCAAAGTATGTGAAATCTCTCTCAAATATCTCTCTGTATTAGAAATCTCTCCAAGTATGTGAAATCTCTCTCAAATATCTCTCTGTATTAGAAATCTCTCCAAGAATGTCAAATCTCTCCCAAATCT